TTGGTATACTCATGTCAATAAATGTGCTGTCCTTTTTTCTTGGTAATTTCTAATTAGTAGGCATTGATCCTGTAGTGCCACGCCTACATTTTCTCCAATTCTAATTGGTCAATAAATACATACTAAAAAATAACAGGACAATTTATCTATCGCATTCAACCATAGTAAATTTGTTCCTACACTTTGTTCAAAAACAAGATTTGCTACAAAATCGCTCATTGGTCCATTTTCCGTCCAATCGGATATGTTTCATGTATATTCAAAAATATATCCAGCGTCTCTGCTGGGAGCCACCCTAGGTAGTATAAATATTGGAAGCATTCCAAAAAAAAAAACAGTAGTAGAAGTAGTTCCAGAACTACAGTCGAGTGTACCCAGAGACAATAGATCTCATCTACCCGCTCGTGTATTTCATCCTACTCACTCCGCACATACATACACAATACAGAACTTTATTTGCTACACCACCAGTTCTCAGTGGACACACCAAGTTAAATCAACTCTGTAAGTTGCAACAACTGAACAATTTTCCGAAAGAAATATTCTATTTTCAACACTGAACTCTGAACATTTTACTCAGACAAATCTTCTTTAAGACATTGCCTTACAGTCAAGGGGAGCTACTTTTTTCTCCCTTTTTCACTCATATTACAACTACTTTGTATTATTGTTGAATTTAATATACATATATTTCTTCGTTAAACAAAATTGGCTCTCATTGTTTTTTCCTTGATGTTTTAAATATTATGTATGAATGTTTATTACCTTCTCAACACGCAGCCACATTATCTATTTAACCCATTCAACATTGGTGACCACAACACTCAAGAAGTAATACATTCTTCAATCCTGTGCAGTAAGAATAAAAACTTCGGTTTCAGTTTTTACGCCTGCACTACATAACCATTGCTGGGTATGGGGTTTATCTTCATCAGCTTTACTACTACGGACAGAGTATTAAAAATGAAAAGGCTTATCTTGCCATCATCTCTACATTTGGTACATTGCATTTGCTTTTACTTTCTTTTTTAGATTCTCTGTCGCTACTATATTTCTATTATTGGTTATTTGCACTTATATCCACCCACTTACAATTCTCTTTTCAATTTGTTGTCTTCTTTTATTATGAAATAATGTGTTTTATTTCTTTCACGTGCTTTGATGCATAACATCATTCAATCTTCTGTAATTTCCAGGCATCTTTGAAGACCAATTTTTGTGGCGTTGAAAGAGAGTTATTATTATTATTATTATTATTATTATTGTTGTTGTTGTTTGATTGCATTTGATTTGATTTTTCGTGTAAAATCATTTCTTTCTGGGTCCCAACCATAGACCGTAAATCAGAAAGCATATCAAAACATTTTTCACTAAGCAGAGAAAACAAAAAAAACAAAACGAAAACAACTAAGGTCACAGGCATTTTACATAAGTAAGGTGTGGGCTGTACTTGTGAGTACAATTTTTTTGTATTTCTTTAAGTCATGGAATACAAGGAAACCCTTCAATAAGTCTATTGGAATCTTTTCAAATCGGCCCACGTGACTGAACTACAACTGGAGTTGTTGATGTCTTCATTTGCCATATTTTTGAGATTTCAATTTCAAGGTCCTTGTATTCTAAGAGTTTTTTTGATCTTTTTCATTATCAATGCAAAAATAATTCTAATGATTGTAATTGTCAATGCACCTCATTCAGTAGTAAATACTAATTACAGAGATATAACATTTTCAATGCCATGTCAATTCATAAGCATTAATGCTTCTCTATCTATTCTTTTCATGTGCCGTTCGTTTCAGGACGTAGGCGATCATGGCTCTCCACTTCCCCCCTATCCAGTGCAGCTCTCAATAAGTGTCGTCCCTTCTGCCACAAACCAGACAACTGAAGCCCGTGAGGTATATCATGTGTTGCTTTCCCTTGTCTCTCTTTCCCTATATTCGACATGTGAGTATCAGATTCTCCTGGTGCTCCTTCCTCATTATGTGTCCCAGAAACTTCAGCTGCTCTTCCTGATGTTAAGTGTAAGTCTCCTCCTTGTTTGCATCCTCTCCAAGACCTCATCGTTGCTCGCACGTTCGGTCCATGATATCCTCAGCATCCTTCTGTAGAACGGCATCTCCGTTGTTTCGAGTCTCTTCTTCATCTTTGAGGAGACCGTCCAACATCCGATGCCGTAAAGGAGGACAGATGTCACGAAGCAGCTCAGTGCACATTTCTTTGATACCAAAGAAATCCTCCTGTTTCGCAATACTCTGCCCAGATTTTGGAATGCATCCTTGGCCATCGCAATACGTCTAAAGTTCTCAGTGTCGCATTTACCGTCCTCTGTCAAAACACTTCCCAGATATTTAAATTTCCGCACCTGATTGATTTTAATGTCTCCGCACTGTAAATCGCATTTCGGGATAATCCTTTTACTGATGACCAGGCATTCTATCTTCTTGTATTTAATGCTTAATCCCTTTTTCTCACTCACTTCCGCTACCTTTTGTAGGAGGTTTTGTAATTCCTTTTCCTTGTCAGTACTGTCTCACCTGTGTATCTTATGTTGTTAATATTGTGACCGCCAATACTAAATCCCGGTAAGATTTCCTTTTCTCTTAAAATTGCTTCGCTGTATAGGTTGAATAGGTCCGGGGAGATGACAAATCCTTGCCTTACGCCATTTTATATTTCTGTATATCTACATTCTCTATTCGCATGCAGGCCGTTTGCTGCCAGTATAGGTTCTTGATTAATCTAATATCTTTCCCGAATATACAGTGCTGTTCGATAAAAGTGACTTACCTGATTTTTTTTTTTTTTTTTACTAGATGTTCTCTTCTCTGATGAAACTAAAAGTTGAGCTAAATTCAAAGGATATGCGATCTAAAATCCGAAGAAAGCTCTTTAAATTTTGAAGAACCCGTTCAATAATGTTCTGGGGATGCTTTTCTTTTCATGGAACTGGTTTCTTAAAACCTATTGCAAACCCTCAGGAGCAACCCCACAAGAAAATTTTTAGAGTCTGTCTGCTCCCTTCTGCTGAAAGAGTGCAAATCGATAATGATCCAAGTTTTCATTTTGATGCAGGATAATGCTCCCTTTATTTGTATGGAAATTGATGAAAAAATGAGCTTGTTGCAGGTGAGTTTATGACATTTCAGCAGAAGGAGCAGACCTCAACCCTAAAATTCTCTTTGAGCATGTTGCTCAATCCTCTCTAGGGTCTTTTCAATAGGTTTTAAGAAACCAGTTCCATGAAAAAGAAAAGCATCCCAGAATTTTATCCATGCTTGATAGTTTTACTGCTCTGAAAGAGGCTTCTTCTTGGGATTTTAGATCGCTTATCCTTTGAATTTTAGCTCAACTTTTAGTTTCATCAGAGAAGAGAACATCTAGTAAAAAAAAAAAAAAAAGGTAAGTCACTTTTATCGAACAGCACTGTATAATTGCTGGGAATCCTTTTCTACATTGTCTGCAAATTACCATATATTATTGGGTAAGATAAATGAATATATTGCCGGAAACAGGGATTTGAATTCAGAGTTGTCATTCTCTTAGACTGGTGATTACTCAAGTCTAGAAAGCGTAGTCTACCATGTTATTTAACGTCTATTTTTGTTAGCACATGAAATATATTACAATGGCCCGACCGATAACCAAGACGCCATATTGATAGCATTTTTCAAGTGTTACGGTATCAGTATATAGAAGTTAATTCAATTAGATCAATTTCAAAGAGTCCCTTAAAATTTATGCAATATTTTAGGCAGTCAAGATCTATGTCTATTTACGATCGGTAGCGATCATTAAACTCCACAGTTTCCTTTTCGCTTTTATCTGTACGATTTCTTGAGAAAAATGGCGGACTCGTTTCCGTTGAATTTTCCACCGTTTTATGTTCAGAATTTTCCTTCTGCTCATGGTCCTGTCGCCCAGGTTTTTAAAAACCCCATCTTCTCTGCTATTTAAATCTGAACTGTGGACACTAGCATACTAGTTACATATATCTCAGGCTTTGTATTGTTTTCACGGTGAAGAGTATGTTGTCTTTCGTATCGGCACCAATAGCTCATATGCACATCTTGTTTGAACCACCAATTCACATATAACGGTGTACGAGTCGGTAACAGCTGATATTGGAGAACATCTAAGTACGTATTTCATCTGCTCCATTTTCACATTTTTTTATTGGTATTAGAAGCTAAAACCGCGTATTAATGATCAATACTTGTAAAATATGCGTTGTTACCGGTGCAAGCTATCTATCTATTAGAGAGATTTCCGAAAAGTGTATTTGTCTGGCCTTTCAATGTAGCTGGTGCGTGATCAAAAGTCTTTGATGTAAATCCCTTTGACTAATAAATTTGAATAGCTTTAATGTTATATTGAAGAAAGAAGTAGAGAAGATGAATAAAGTAAAATATATCGTTAAATATTGGCGTCATATAATATATATATATATATATATATATATATATATATATATATATATATATATATATATATACACATCTATCTGTGTGTATGTGTGTATGTGCGTGATGATGTGTAATATGACGCTAAT